CTTCATAATAACCTAAAATGAGGCTATTGTGTCACATTCCTGCCACCACAATATCATTCTTCATGGGCAATTTTTCACACCTTTATAGGAGCCGAACTCTAGGAGCTTCACTTCAGCCACATTTACAGTTAGGTTAATGTTATTACTAAACTAACTAACGATAAAGATATTTTCAGGTCAAACAAACACGTAGACAGTGGCGCAAAAAGGGAGTATGCAGTATATGCGCCCATAGGGGCACCACACATGGGGGTGGCGCCATTGTGCCAAAACTATTTTTGAAATTATACATATTATTATACATATTAAACAAAATAAATACATATTTTTGGTTAAAAATGTTTATCCTGCATTTTATATAAATATACAATTGTATTTTATTGAATAAAAAAAATATACCACCCATCCCTCTTCGTTGACCATTTGATTGATCCATTGCTCGGTTACAGTCACATGTTCAAAATGGAGAGAAGAGTAAAGAGACGTGAAGCGCGAAATAGAAAACAAAAAGAGAACAAACAATGCCTTAAAATGAAAACTGCCATGACAAATTGGATAATAAGGAATTGGTAAGCTTAACCCACACTATTATTACCATGCGTTTAATCAACTTCTAATGTTTTTTGGGAGCGACGGGCAGCCATATCATTAATTATTCATTATCGCCACTCAATCACTGCATGCATGGGCTTTTATTTAACATAAATGCAGACGAGGAGGTTTTGTCCAGGCAGGGGGACAGTGACGCTCGGCCACACCTGAACTGCGCCCGAAATCGCATATTTGCATCCTGTATAGTATGCGAAAAATACTATATTTCTATAGGCTAAAGCCATGATGAGCTGGTGTAAAGTTAACTTTATGGTAAACACTTTTGATAGTAGTAAATTTATGGATTGTCAGCTTCAAAAGATAACATTTTTATTCACTGCATTTAAATATGGATTACAGTTACTAACGTTAGCTATTTACTAAAGAGCAACAAATGAATTTATTTTGATCCTCTGTTTTTTTTGATAACAGAGGTGAGAGTCTGATTTTAAGAATGCAATGAAAACATTTGTTTTGTTTTTGCTAATTTAAGATAATATAACTTGTATTTCAAATAAAACATGTTTACATATTATTGTCTATTTACACACCTGAATCTTAAAGTATACGCTGTCATTCATCTTCAAATCCCGTGTATAGAAGCCGTCTTTATCACTATGGAGCGCGTCCATCACTCAACTGGAAAGGATGTGAATGCAGCCGTTTTTACATTAATTTCAACGTGCTGTCAATCCAAAATAACGTGAAAGCTTAATTCTCTTAAACAGTTCTTGCATCACATTTGAGATCGGCTCTGTGTAGCTCCTACTTTCACTTTTCATAGAAACATCACAAATGCGGGAGAAATACAGGAAAAAAACAGCCTGATCTCACGAGAAAAAGTAAGTATTTTAAGTTTTGGCAGTTTAGTGGCTAATTCGTACGAATTCGTACGAGTTCAGTCGTAAGAAATTGTACGATTTTAAAAAGGAGGCGTGGCACCTAACCCCACCCCTAAACCCAACCGTCATTGGGGGATGAGCAAATGGTACTAAAATGTACGAATTAGATCATACGAATTCGTACGAATTAGCCACTAAATGAAAAAGTTACGAATTGCCGTGAGATTGTGTTGGAAAAAACACACACGGAAGACAGCGGATAGAATGGTAAAATATGGTAGAATTAATATGGCAAAAACGAGAGGGTTTATAGGTATGAATTGGATACGTTGGCACACACATTTTAATTCTAAATCATTTAAAACAATAACATGCAGTCAAACATCCATGTGTAAAGTTCATGTAAAAGTTTTATCAAAATAAACTGTCAAATCATACTTACAGTTGAGCTCAAAAGGTATGAGTAATCTGAAAATTTTTCTTTATTATTATTAATTAATTATTTTGCAAAAATAAGAGTGATCACACAAAATGTATGTATAAAAGTAGGCTACATACCTAAATAATAGGGCCAGACAGAATCTGCAAACATTTTTTGCTATTTCTGCTGAGAATTACAGGCAGAAAATACTACTATACCAACTGTATTGTTAATAAATCATATGAACATTTTAATATTACTATTATTATATCACAATAATATTAGTAAAATGAATTTAAATACTAAGTAATTATAAATGTACACAAATTTACACAAGTAAATAGATAGACTCAATGATGGGCTAAAAATCTGTAGAAAACTGCAGATGTCTGCGCACGCAGACTCCATGTGGGCCTACTGAATATATTTTAGACAAAATAGAAAATAATACTTGGATTAAAAAATTCCCCTATATAAATTTTAGATACCTAATTATAATGATTCTTAACCCTGTTAAAACTGACACAAGCAAATAGTCAGAATATTCACATTTTTTGGAACTGTCATGTTTTTTAATCCCATCAAGATCCATTTTTATACCATATACATGTTTTTTTTTATAAACAATTATGTATCATATTGATACATCAGGCCTTTTGGTAACTTTTTCTGCTTAAAACTAGTTCAATTTAGTTCCCAAAAAGTTTGCCTATAACATTCTGATCAAATAAAACATTTCAGGCAGTTTGTCTTTTTTATTTCACTTTGTGAAAGGTGATTGCAGTTTCATGTGAAGACAGACCTTACACCTCTCACATTTGCATGTGAGAAGTTATTGCATTTTTAAGTTCTTTTGCCCTTTACGACTTCCATATTTATTATTTTGTTTTGACAAATGTACAAAAAGAACAAAAACAAGACATGTCGAGGTGCTATAATAATTTGGTAAGGAAAATGGAATTAAGAAGAAATTTGGGTAGGGATGAGATGTAATTCTTTGTGACTTAACATGCTTAATGTAATTATACTTTTACTTCTTCATACTATTTCAGTTGCGTTCAGAACTTCGACATGTTGATGAGGAAATTAATATGGGGGGGCGCAAAACTTTAACTCGCATACCCCTCAGTAAATGTGGAGTTGCGCCCCTGCACGTAGATTATAGTTGTAACTAGTATACACCTACCGAATTATTTCTTTGAACAAAATGAATCTTCATTTGGTCAAAATACAACGTTTCTTGACCAGCAGTCTTCGGACGTTTGCCAAAAGGCATCGATTTAACGTTAAACCTAAGTTAACACACAGTATGAAAGTAACGTTAAGGACTCGTTCGCGGTTCGGACTGAGTTTACACCTAACGTTACAGAACAAAGCATCAGGTAAGTTTCACGTGTTTGTAAAACATACTTTCACGATTTGAATTAAATGTGTTCAGCCAACATATGTAGATTATGCTAAAACCATTGGCTAAAACTTGATACTGGTTATTTCTTTGAACCAAAACTTACTAGAACTTTTAATTAAGACTGCATGATAAAACCATAACTGTGAAGTTACCTTAGGCCACACAGGAAAGAGCTGAAATCCAAAACAAGCCCAGCTTCCGTAGTCATACGTAGCTACATTGCTAATGACTGATTAAACCGTCTAGTTTGTTTAACACGTTACATGTTTATCATTAAATATACAAATACGACTCTCTACTCTACATTCCTATTGGATGATCCTCACCGAGCCGTTGTAGTTATATTAATGCGCCAAGTATGACGGCGACCTATATTATTTAGCGGAATAATTTATATGATGTTTTGATCGACAAATGAGGTTTTATCCTATTATTAATTTTCAACAATAGGGTTATGTTTATTTTATCATTTTAAATACAGCACCAATAACAATTGAGAATGTTTTTAGTATTGATTAAATATTGATAAAATCACACGTTTAAAAACTGTAATAAATCTGTTAAAATGACAGTGAGATAAATGTGTCGAATGTACAATTTTTTTCTAAACATGAGTGTTTTTGAAAATGTTTCCACCATCATTTCTATTATGTTATAAATAGGTGTAAGGTAAATTCATTCTTATATAATTAGGTCTTATTAGTATTTGATAGAAATCACATTTGTTGGTTCAGGAAATATCACTGAACAAAAATGACCACATGTATATCTTCGTATGGGGTGGCGCAGTTGGTAGAGATGTTGCTTCACAGCAAGAAGGTCGCTGGTTCAAGCCTTGGCTGAGTCAGTTGGCATTTCTGTGTGAAGTTTGCATGTTCTCCCTGTGTTGGCAAGGGTTTCCTCCAGGTGCTCCGGTTTCCCCCACAAGTCCAAAGACATGTGCTATAGGTGAATTGGGTAAGCTAAATTGTCCATAGCGTATGTATGTGAATTAGAATGTATGGGTGTTTCCCAGTGTTGGGGTGCAGCTAAAAAGGCATCTGCTGAGTAAAACATATGCTGGATAAGTTGGCTGTTCATTCAGCTTTGGCGACCTCAAGATTAGTAAAGGGACTTAGCTGTAGGAAAATGAATGAATGAATATCTTCTTATCCATGGATGCTGTACAGATTAATTTATTAAAATGTTCAGATTGAATTTCTACAACTCAAGTCAGCTTGAAAACCTTGATATATAGTCAGGTGGGAAAATCACTTGGTTGAATCAGTTTAAAGTCTCCACATTCAAATCTAACTTTTGTTCTCTCGCCAATGACTTCATCGCTGGCTGGGATCTGTTTCAGGACTTGAGGAAGAGAAAATGGCACATTAGCACATAAATGCGCTGTGGTCTTTTGAGGGTAGTCTGGGGAAGCCCTGCCTAAACCACAGGGACTCCTGGGTTAAAGGGGACTATAACTTCATTATTCTCCAAAGGTTTCCTTCACTGGGCCTCCTGAGGATACAAGGATGAAAAACCAGCTGAGACCAACTAAATATGATAGACTGGAATGTATAAGTGATATGTTTTTATCTAAACATTAAAAAGTTAAACTGAAGTGCTGCTCTCTTAGGTCAGCGTTAATCATGGAAGCTATTCAGGGTCAATATTTGGGCACATACACCTCATATAGATGTGTTACTCACTAAAAATAAGCACATGGGAGAAAAGAACAGAACATTCAGTCTACAATTTAAAAGGTGTGTTTTTTAATTCCAGTTGAATTTTATGGGGGTTGAATGATTGGGCTGACATTTCTGCTAATGCGACAAGTTCAAGTAAGACAACATAGCACTGAACCACCACTCCATACTGTTACAGGCACAATATAGATCAACAAGGCCTCGTTCCCAACACATAACAACTTCTCAAGGCACAACAACCCTCAATACATACACAGAATTACACAGCAATACAAAACAATGGGCCAGTAGCTTCATCAACACCATTGATACAACTGGACTAAATGGCTTTTAATTTAAAGTGCAAAACCTGTGTACAATACCATTTTATGGTATAGTTATACATGGTATATGTCAGACAAAAAACTAAATTAAACAACATTACATCCATCTCATCATACTGTAAGTCATAGTGCCTGCATATGGTCGATTAAACTAAACATTGCTGAAATAAGTGCAATAGATTATATAGATGAGTCTGTGCATTGTCGCTGTCAAATATTTCTGTAGACATTCACATCCGACCTACAGTGGTAACAGAACAAGATATACTCGGCAGCCATTTCCCAACCCCCTACTACTGATAAATCACATAAAATAAATGATCCATAAATAATTATTCATGATTAAATATAATATAGTGTCATAAAATTACGCAATGCTGGACAAAACATTTTACACTTTGGTTATTAAAACAGCTACGTGTAGCTTTGTAGATTAAAATACAGATTAACTAAGCCCTGTTTTTCCTAAAGCAAAAGCATAAAAGGTATGAAGATGAGACGTCAATACGAAATAAATTCACACACTTTGCTGTTTCTCCAAAACACAACAACAGAGAGTCATGTGCTGCATAGAATCTTATACATCCTGCGCACAGCATAAATGCTCCTGATGACAATCATCATCAATTATTTGTCACCCGATGCAATGGGTGTGGATTTTGTTATGCATATTTCAATATTTCAACGACTGTGATTGAAGACGCGTGCCTTTGTGTGCTTTGTGCCAGATGAAAATGTGTTGTTCTGTCATCCCCTACTGAAAGAATAAAACCTCAGCACTGCTTATTCTTGTTTTAAAATGGATTGGCTGATTTGAAGAATAAATCTGTGAGATTAAGAATAACCATAAAGTGATTTGCCGTTCTTAGATGTGTGATTGAGTGACTGAGGGAGGACATTTCAGTAAAAACACTGTTCAACAGACACTCCCAGTACATGGTACTTGGAATGTGGTTTAGCCTTAAGATGTTCAGTCGCTTTTAACCTTGACAATCACACATGCAGAGGTACATGATACAGGGCAGATCACAGCTTGAAGATCACTTCAAACCAACAAATAATTGCATTTATAAACCCATGAAGTGCTAAAAAAAGAAACCAAACGAGTAACCTCTCAGTTATTAATTTACTGACTTCAAAAATAAAGTATGGCCTGAGGAGGTAAATGCCTACTGTGAGATGATTGAAGGTCCTTAAATGACCACACAGTAAAAAAGCGAGAGAGTCTATAGTTGGGTTGGCTTCCTGCTATGTGGCTCTGCACCAGTAGGTGGCACTGTCACCAGACTCCTAAGATAAACACAAGGATTCCTTCTCTTTCCTGCAGATTGTGCAGCAAGTGGAGGAGGAGGCGGTGGCGGCCTCAAAGATGACATTAGCGGCTGCATTTCCCGATGCTGCTGAGAAAGAGCACCTTCCTCCTCTTCCTCCTTCCCCATAGGGTATTTGAACTGCCCTGAACTTGGGGAACTTGTAGTGCTTTCTAATCCTGCATCAACACCAGCACTTTTGTCCTTGGCAGGGGTGCGCAGGGGTCCTCCTAGCCGCGAGAGAGCGCTAATGCGCGGGTGAAGAGGCTCTGCGGGAGCAGGAGGAGAAGCCAGACTCTCCAGAGAGGAGATGCTCTGATTCCAGGCCTGCTGAAGGTCTACTGGGATGATTTTGGTTGCCTCCACAGACACACAGGGAGGGAGGGAACCCATGCCACTTTTCCACGGCAGGTTTTTCTCTCCGCATGTCAGTGAGGGAGGAGCTGTGATCGGGCTCTGACAGACATCCAGAGCTGCTGGTACTGCAAGAACAGAAAGAAACACAAGAAGGTACACAAGCGTTGGGAATAGGTAACAATCAGTTTCAACCCAGGCTCGTTTTGAAAATGTACCGCTATATACATATCTGAAGAGCGCCAAATATGTCCCAGGAGATACTTTTTTTTGCAGTTTTTCCGTTCGCGAATCCACCCAAGGGCGCTGTGTATGCTTTTTCAGATATCAAATTTCTCTCACAAGTGCCATTCGCGCCTGCTGTTCTTGTGTAAATCCACCAGAGGCCGCTGTCGATTGACTAACTGACTATCTAAATGACTGATCGATCAACTAAACCACCCTCTTCCCTCCCTAAACCCAACCAATAGTGTTTTAAAAAGCACCGATTGACCCACTCACACTCTTCCCTAAACCAGTTTTAAAAAGCAATCCAGAAAAAGAAAATCCCTCATCTGATTTTTTCAACGTTTTCAGATTTTACAGAATTTTCACCCTGCTATTTTCTTATTTTTGGCTTCGATTTACATGTCCAGAAATGTATATGGGGCTGGAGCCTATGTTAATCTCTTCTCAGATTTTCACAGCATCATCATATTCTTACCTGATTTCGGTCTCTCCTTTGGTGTTTCTGGGGTTCTGCGAGCCACAAAAATAATGCCCACGTCATCATCTTTATCTACTTCAGTAGGATCATGTTTATCCTCCTCGGGTGCCAATGGAGCCACAAGCGGGTCTGCAGACATGTGTGGAAACATGTTACCCATCATGCACTTGTAAATATAACACTTTATTCAAACATGAAAGCTTAACATTTCCTAACAACCAACCTTTGTCCTGCCAGCTGACATTGCGTCTGGGTTTGTCGCTGGTGTCTTGCTCTTTAGCATCTGACCCTTTCCGCTGTAATGCAATATTATCAAATATTTTAAAAAGAACACTTTAAGAGACTCTTCCAATGGTTCATTTGGATGTACTGGAATTACTGGGTATGAGAATACTAATATTGTATAGTAGCATTTACTTTAGAAAGTCGTATTTTAAAATATGATAATCTCACTTTCTCTCAATATCATGCAAGTGCACATTATCAGAAACTCAGCAAATTAGCAACCCATCACTCAAGATACATATCAGTAATAACAAACTTTAACCTTGTCTTTACACTGCCTTTGGGCAGCTGACCTTGCTCACACAGGCATGCTATTTTGTCTAAACTAGCATGACCTCCTTCAAGTCCAGGTAACACAACTCAACATTGAGCGCTTGCCTTTTTCTGACTGCGGTCTTTCTTGTGGCGCTTGTAGCGAGTGGATTTAAAGGACTCCAGACGGTTGCGCATATTCCTCTGGAAAACCTCCCTGTCTTGTCTCTCTTTTTCACCCAATGTCATGAAGTGGCGACTGTAGTGGGACTGATACTGCAGGAACAGAGAAGAAGAGGTCAACTGAAGAAAACACCACACAATGTGTCTCCCATATTACTGACACAACATCATACTTTAGAGCTCTTTGCAGTGACAGAATGTATGGTTTATGAGGACACAAACGTGAGTAATGACATGAATAACAACATACAGTTAACATGGTTTATGAGGACACTTCCTTTGTCCAGACGTTTTCTGTCAGTGCTGTGTTTAGTGGTAAGATTATGGTTAGGGGAGAAAATATATAGGTTGGTGTAAAAATCTATGGAGAGAATGTGTGTTTGTGTGCTGTACCCGTCGTCTGGGTTTGTAGAGGTTTCCAGCAAGCACATGATGTGTCTCCAGCTCTTCCTCTATCTTTGCTCCTGGCACTGTGTCAATCACCTGGAGGTCTAAACACACTCCACTGCCGTTCTCTCTCCTGAGGGGTTACACATACATAAACACACGCACACACACAAACACACACGTGAGCGTGCACACTGAAAGGTTCATACAAGAGCCAACACGCATGCAAACACATGTACAGTAGTTACACCACAGAAGATGTCTTCACACACCAATACACATAAAAACATCCTCTGAAAATAAAAAAAGTAAGTATTGTAGTCAGAATCTATATTATCTATATAGTTTAATATAGTCTATATTCATTTATATTACTTTAAGAAAATATGTTTACAATCATACTTATTAATCTAATTTAAGAAACAATGCCATTTAAAATGTTTGGGGTAAGTCATTGTTAAAAAGATACTAATGATACTAAGATATTAAATGATAAATGATGCCTAGATATGAAGATATTAAAACATATCATGAATATTTACTGCTTATAATTGTGAACAAAAGTGACAGAAAATACTTTTATAGTGTTTTAGAAGACTTAATGGTCAGTTTGAACTGTTATCAAGATTGATAATAAGAAGAATACATTTGTTGAGATCAATCAGCATATTAAAATGGTTTCTGCATAATTATGTGACACTGTAAACTGGAGTAACAATGCTAATAATGGAGTCATAATTCAGATTTAGTAACACATGAGTAATTAACATTTTTTTTAATATATTTTGTAATTATTTTAAATGTATTAAATGATCACTTAAAAAAACATTTTAGAAAAACTATCAACAACATGCTTTTGAATTGTACAGAAAATACACGTTGTTTACTGGACAACATCATAACAATTAAGCAATTTTTTTTGAGATATGCATAAATATATTCTCATACTCACAGGTAGTTAGTAACATTTGTAACTTCAGGGAAAGATGTTCTGCTGGCCATTGAAGGCAGAGAGACTCTAGCAGAGGTCAACACATTCCCACCCTGAGAGAAACACGCAGACATACCACCAGATATCAATCTGAATGCACATGTAAACCAGGGCCTGTATTTATCAAGCATCTCATAGTGCCAATTTAGTCTGTAAAGTGCTGAGAACAATTCGCTAATCCTACTTACAAAATTAAGTCAACATTAGAAAGTGGATCACAAAGGTTACAACAAGAATGGGTGTTGTTCAATAGTTTTGAGACAACTTTGATGAAAGGTATTGATCCACTTAAAAACGTTGACTAGTGTATCTGCTTATATGACACAGTGGCGCCTGCAGCTATACGGCTGTATGCACTGTGCGTACCTACCATAAGAGTGCAATTTTCTAAAATCTAAAAATGTATTTTCTAAATATTTTATTTTGAATTAAAAAACAAAACGAAAAAAAACTCTAATTTGGAACTATTTAAAGGTGAGTTGTACTAAAATGACAGAAATTATGGTCAAATTTTATTTTTGGGGTGAATGCCTTAAAGAGGTGCTCAGCATACATGAGTACACCCCATTTTGAAAATAAATATATTTCTCCATTTCTCAGTGAATATATGTAATACATATTTGGCGCATTTTAACAAAAACAAATCTATTAAAATAACATTTTAGTCACTGAAAATCTTTAGAAATAGAAAGATAGTACATTTCAATTCATGCAAAAAAATTGCAAAAATAAATTACAAACTACCAAATTTTTTTTAGATATTTTTGTTTCTCTTGATTTTTGCTGTTTTTTACTATTATATTTCATATTTCTCCCTAACATATAAATTTGGGCTACTAATGTTTGAACCATTATTTCAAGTTATTTTGTTAGATTAGCTCCAGATCTGGCTCCAGTACTGATTAATCTAATGTATATGCATAAATATAATATTTTAAAGCATCGTATAGAAAATATTAATTAAAATGAGAGATTTGTGAGGCGTGTACTCAAACATGCCAAGCACTGTAACTGCTAACAGCACTCCGATTTTAAACGAGGCATGTTTTGTTTTGTTTTTAATGTCATATTATATCTTATATAATAATAATGTGTTTTAAATGTAAACTCATCTTATGAATTCCCCATTCAATATAAATTAACCCTAAAAATTCCTAAATGAGAAATTCTACTCAGTGATTGGTACATGTTCATGTAATCACTCAAAAGCCCATTTGTGTCCCTCTAAGACTTAAAATTTACTCCTGCACTTTACTTAAATTTCAACATTAGGTGCATTCCAAAAGGCTCTTCAGAGTGAAAACAATCATGGGCGCCAAATTGAAGTGCTGTTTCACATCGAAGTGCACAAAACTGACCATATCAAAGACCCTTCAAAATGAACTATTTCGAAGGTGCAACTGATGGACACTTCGGACCCACAAATATTAGATTTGTTTTAGCTTCACATACTGTGTTCCATTCAGAAGTTCTCATTGCTAATCCCTTTGAAGCTTCGAGGGTAAACACTTCGAAGGGGTTAGTTAGGGTAAAGGGATGAACCCTTCCGAATGGAGTAAAGTGTGAGATGCATGATAGTTAACTTTTAAAGTTACTCTCACTCTCTTTACTCTAGAGTTAATTCTTAGCACTGTTCTTATGAGTAATTCTCAGAGGCTTGATAAATACGGGCCATTCTCTCCTTTCTTATTGATGGTGTCTCTTTTCACAAATGACATTTACAGCTGACTAATCATTTCTTGACATACACAACCACTGATTATTTAAACAATCTACTCTGCACTCTTACCAAATGACCTGACTTCACAGCTCAGTGAAACATATATAGACTGTAAGCAAAACCATGGCAGAAAAGACGGACTATTTAGTCATACATGTTAGAAACTTTTACATTTTGACCCTAATTCTGTTCCTCTTTCACTGGGTGGTCTGAAAGAGAACAGAGGTTTCCCTATCTTTCAATCTTGTGCTAATATTAGCTTAATAACTCCTCTCAGGAAGCCCAGCTCTATGAAACTCAAGGGCGCAGGAAATGATCTCGCCGGAAGACAAAAGCCCTGCATGACTAAGATTCCAGGTGTTATAAAACTTTTCTGATCTAACATATTGTTTCTGCGCAGAGGAAAGGGAAAGGGAGAGAAACTATTGAAAAGGTGAATCTGACATGGAAGATTACCTTTTTCTTGCAAACAAACTAATGAATCGGGAGGCATGTGACAATCATTTATTTCAAAACATTTATTATTGGCCACCTTTTGGTCAGGTGTTTTTGATACATTAAATAAAGCCCTTAAATCAATATGCCACCTGATCCTTTGTTAGCCCTCTTTGGTGTATCCCTTGAACCTGATTTGACAGTCTGTGACAGTAAGGTTCTTGTCTTTACCACAATTCTAGCCAGACGTCCTATACTTTTAAAATGGAAACACACTTCCCCCCTCTACACATGACAAGTGGATAAAGGACATTTTTTACTGAATCTGACTCGAAAAGCTGAGATGCTCACTCTCTGGCTCACTAGATTCCTTTTATGAGACTTGGGATTTCTTTCTTGATTACATCAAAGGCCTGCTTATAACACCTGGTGCCAGCAACCTGTAACATTAACCATTTTATCAGAAGGTTTTTTTATTATTTTTTTTTATTTAAATTCATTATAATTATTTGGTATTTATGTATTTATTGTTTTGTTGAGTTAATGAATGGGAGGTTAGAGGATGGGATTAATAATGGACAATACATCACTGTATACCTCTCAATATTTAATTTGTATTGTCATAAAAAAAGACCCATAAAAAAGATTGAAATAAAATATATTATATGACGCTACCAGAGGCCCTTCTCTTTTTTATTTCACTCCTTTTGTATGAAGCCACTGCTGAGTATTTAGCAGATAGGTTTGATGTTGCGTCTGACAGGTATCGGATGCCTACAAAGGAGCAGTATTGGCAGAGACAGGGTGGCGTCAGGGGACCTAACAAAGAGAGGAATTATCCTCTGCTCTTCTCAAACCACTCTCCTGAGCCTGAGAAAAGACCTCAGAGCTTTTTCTGCCCACTGTTGTAGTATGGGGGCTTTCGGTCTTTAATGGTTCAAGGACCCCCGACCAGACTCTCCACCAACCCAAAGACCTCTTTATACAAGAGTTTTCAGTCTGCCTAAAAACGGCCAAATTCTGGCATTCTTGTGACAAACATTCTAAAATGTAGTTCAGGACATCTATATTTCTTGTATAAAGACTTATAATAAAGATTTATACAGTAGAAAAATGTATATTTTAAATGGGTCTATTAAAAAGAAATTTAAATTTGTATTCACTTTAATAACATTTTTATTTATTACTTTTAATTACATTTTTAAAATACAAAATGTGGGGTAATTTAATAACATGTGACTTTTTAAAATGATTTATGATTAATTTAAAAATGAGTATAAATATAAATAAGAACTAACGTTACACCAATGGTCATATTTATTAAAAAGTTAGAAATTAAACTTTGTTAAATGGTCATCAGCAACTAAGTTTTTAATATTTTTATTTATAAAAAAAATACATTTATAAACTTCACATTACATCAATTTCGAATTAATTTACAACTTGTAATAACTAGTTAACGCTTATGCACAGTGTTTGTAATGTTGGATCTATGAGTAGGATAGTAAAGTTGATATTGTTTTTTTTTTTGTCTTCTAGTTGCCGTTCTCAGTCTCACACATTTTTTTCTTTTCTTTTTTTTTGGAAAATCCTGAAAACACTTTTGAGAAGTTTTTCGTTTGTTATTTGAGCAAACTGGAGTTCAAAAAACGTTTTTGTGATAGTCTCTCATTCATTGCTCTCTAGGTTTACCAAACTATTATGACTTCCACTGCTGAGAAATCTAGAAATGTGAAAATGGTCTGTTTTTAACCAGTACTCATTTTTTGAGTGTGGACACCATCTAGTGGAAGAGATTTTCAGTACAACAATAATACAACATAGAACGCCTTACAAAAATATATACCATGACACAGCATTTTTATAACATGGCATCAAATTAGGTTCCTTGACATGTACCATGGAAATAAATAATTATTATTATATTCAAGCATGATGGAAAAATGCACATAAATATGATCACACCATGTCCAAAATTTGTTGTAATACCCTTGTCCCCTTACAGGAAAATAAGTATGCCAGCATGATGAACAAAAAAGAAGATATTTTGAAGAATGTTAGAAAACAGTGACCATTGACATCTATAGACGGAAAAACATACACTATGTTAGTTAGTTCACCAGTTTTTGATATTTTTCAAAACATCGATTTTTTGGGTGAACTATATTTTTAATGCCAGGATATATGAAGTACTTGAAAACACAAATCTAATGTCACTGTCAGTAAAATATCAATTATCATCCTTCCTTTGATCTTGAATGACATAGTGCAGACAAACTGTGCAAATGGCAGCATTTTACCTGATCAATGACACTGATGGCATCTCTGATGTTGATTTTCTGATAGGCTTCCCACAGTTCACTCTTATGGTAGACAGACTTTCTCAGGAGCAACTTACTCAAATAGTTCTTGTCAAATTGCTCCCACCTAAATAAAAAAAAGTGAATTACAAACCAAACACTAACCGTGCTCTTGAATAATTGCAGAGCACATCCTCCATCCTAATAATAGATTCAGTTGTCATCTAGATTTAGTATTGAATCACTCACTTGTCCCTCCAGTGATGATAGCCATTCAGTCCAGCGATGTCCTCCACAGCTGCCAGAATGTGGTCGAAGGCCTGAAGACAGGAGGACAGACGTCGTTTATCTCATTTTATTTTTGTATTTACTTAAGATGATTTATTACATCATGTCTACATTCAAGGCTAATTGCATGGCAAAAACAAATATACATACAGTTGACATCAAAATGATTAGCCCTCCTGTGAAATATTTCCCAAATGATGTTTAACAGAGAAGGGAATTTTTCACAGTATTTCCTATAATATTTTTTCTTCTTGAGAAAGTCTTGTTTGTTTTAGTTCGGCTAGAATAAAAGCAGTTAAAAAACAAAAAGATTTTAAAGTCAATTTTATTAGCCCCTTAATCTAATTATTATAGTCTATAGAACAAACCGTCCTTATACAATGAGTTGCCTAATTACCCTAACCTACCTTGTTAACCTAATTAACCGAGTTAAGCCTTTAAATTGCAATTTAAACTGAATACTAGTATCTTGAAAAATATCTAAAAAAATATGATGTACTGTTATCATAGCAAAGATAAAATAAATCAGTTATTAGAAATGAGTTATTAAAACTATTATGTTTAGAAATGTGTTGAAAAAGTCTACTCTCAATAAAGAGAAGAACAAAAATATACAAGGGGTTTAATAATTCTGACTTCAACTGTATATTATTTATATTAATTGAGCAGACAAGGAAAATCAATTGGAAGAATTTACATTTATGTAGTGCATTTTTGTTGTGTATTGTCATACACCCAAAACGCTTTACAGTCATATGAGGTCTTTCAATGTGAATGCAGAAATAAGAATTTAAGTACTTGAATGAACTAAGATGTACTTGAATAAAAAAAATACTTTGCAGACATCTTTAAACATCTGTAAGTTTTTTTTAAATATTAAATAAAGTGGCAATTTGTTCATTTTTGCAATTTAAATAAAAATTAGTTTTTGGTCTATGCAACATTCATTCATTTATTTTCCTTCGGCTTCCCATAATTACCAGGGGTCGCCACAGCAGAATAAACCGCCAACTATTCCAGCATATGTTTTACACAGCAGATGCCCTTCCAGCCACAACCCAGTACTGGAAAACACCCAAACACTCACATTTACACACACACACACACACACACACACACACACACACACACACACTAATGTGTGTTTGATTAGGGTTGAGCAAAACTGTGCAGAGCTGTGGCCCTCCAGGAATTGAGTTTAAGACCTATGCACTACGGCCAATTTAAATAATCCAATTTACTTATAAAGCATGTCTTTGGACTGTGGGGAAAACTAGAGCATTTGGAGGAAACCCACACCAACACGGGGTGAACATGCAAACTCCACACAGAAATGCCAACTGGCCCAGCTAGGATTCGAACCAGCGACAGTCTTGCTGTGAGGTGACAGTGCTAACCACTGAGCCACCGTGCCGCATCTATATAACAGGAAATATTTATTTCTCTTCCGTTTTTTTTCTCATACCCTGTTGTAAACACTGTGAAAAACGCTTGTCCATATTTTTTTCAATTACTTATGTGAAATGTAAAATAATGTTATTTTCAAAAAAATGTACATACACTTCTAATTAGGATGAAAATATTTTTTTTAAATGTCTGGAAGTATTTTTGAGTTATTTCATCAATAAATAACTTTTAAGTTCCTCTGTAAAATGAGTTTAAGTATTTTATTTTTATTTTTTTTACTAGAAAACCCAACAAAATTACTGAAGAGAAATATAATTTTTTGCATCTTCCTATTTCAAATCTCCTGTGTCAGCTCATCTTCACTACAGTCTATGTTTAGCACAGGTTTTGGAGAGCTCAGCAGGTAGCCTTGAGTCCCAGAGTGTGCATACAGCAGTGGCAGCAGGACGTGTAAAACCTTCGCTGAGAGGATGAGGGAAATGGCAAGGGGCCATGTGACCTCTGCCCATGTGTGCACATCTATTTGTGGAAAGGCAAAAACGAGCTCTGATGATTAATTCATTGCTAGGAAAAGTCTAACGTCAGTCTGTCTATCGCAACGCCGCTGTTTCAGTCATCAGATCACAAGCGCTGCACAGACAGCAAGGTCAACTTCATCACTCACGCATCGCACCACAGGCAGTCAGGCAGCGACAGTTGACGAGAAACAGACACAGAAAAGAGACAGGAGTATTGGAAGTGATATTGACTCACGCGCTCGTGGATCTCTTCGTTAATGGTGGGTTTTCTGTTTGTGCTACGTGGCACTTTCAGCCATTTCACTAAAGGCTTGATGGTTAAACCCTGGAAAAGACAAGATAAGGGAAATGTCAACAAAACAGACACAGGTGGCTCCTCCGAATGCTTTCAAGTAAATATCACAGGACACACCTCTAATAGAAGAGCCAGGTCTGTCTTTCTGATCTTTCAAACAAACATTCTGCCAAATTGAAGGGATAGTTCAACCAAACTTGGGATTTGCTGTTTATTTACTCACCCTCAAACCATACAAATATTTAGTTTTCAGTACAACATTAAAGGAGACATTGGATTACTGCTGACATTTTTTTTCTTTATGACCTGAATGAAGGAGTATTTGAAACTGTTTCCAAATTAAAAAGTCAAAATGTTAGATTATGCCTGGGCACCTCCCGTGATATTGCAGCCGCCATTATCAATGTAAAATGTATTCGAACAAACATATACATATGAAAAGTGACAGTGCTATATTTATCAAATGCTCAGCTGCACAGCTCTTCGAGATGCTTCTTGAGAAACCACAGCACTACACTGACAAACCCAGCTCTGCACATGAAGGATAACGATCTGATTCTAAGCTTGAATAAACTGAAGCTGGCATTTGATAACTGTAACAATCACCAGTGATCTAGAGACTGTAGATCACTGGTGAACTACACACACACACACACACAACAAGAACTACAACTACTATGATGCTGTGCTACAATCAACACCCACTCCAGCTGACCATCATCCGGATATTGGCTACTGGCTGTTTCTCACTATGAATTCTTCAGCGATCTTGCATCTTTGTGTTCTCTAGTAACATCATCATCAACTGCCAAAGTTCATTTCCAATACTCAAGACCGCAAGAACGGAGGACGCGTGAAATTTTCCGCATGTGTTTTTGATATCGAGGACGCACCGATGCAAATTTGAGCACCAAACTCGCTTGACAAGTCCCAGAAGTCATTGCAACTTGAGGTGGGAAGCGCAGCATTTTATATAGTTTTATTATTAAAGTTTAGAGATATAACTAATTTATATCAAGAGTTTCCCTAAATTAAACAGTAAAGTAAACATTACTATAAAAATCTTAAATAAGACATAAACATATTAAGGGTGTTTATTTGCTGAAATTCGTATTAAAATCTGTTTTATTTATATTGTGCAACGTATATTTGTAAAGTCTTTCTGCATAGTATTTATTTTGAAAAGGGGAACACAATAAATGGTTGTATGAATACTGTAATGTTGAAATAATTTTCTATTAAAAATGTGTGAAGGTCAAGCACTGAACAAACAGTATCAGAAAATACTTTGATTAATAGCCTAAGAAAGCATTTAGGTCTCGCCACAACTTTTTCCATCAGCATTATATTTTACAGGGAAGCCAAAATGCTTTCATACACGTGATTTGAATGACGCAGGAGGGGATTTCTCTGCAATTATTATAAATGTTGGATTAACCTACAAATTAAACAAAAATTCTTAAAAAAACAGGTCATGTGCGTTCGGAACTGTGGGTTGTGATCTGTACATATCACAGTCCAACTTTGATCCGTTACACCCCTAATATTTAGCTGAAACTGTGGTCCTTGGTGATTTATAAAATGCAAGTCCATAGATTTGCACTACTTTGGAAGTTGAAGAATCATATACTGGTAAAATTACTATTGATGACTTTTGATGATACATCGAGGTGCATATTCCAAATTCAGCAAATGAACTGACGAATCGCTAAATGATTTAGTGACTCTTTAATATAGACAATCACTTGTTGCCACCTACTGGTGCACTAATGTAACACACCAACTCAGATTCAGTTTACCCACAACCAGCTATTAAAAAAATGACAATGACTAGTTGTCTAACCCACTGTACATGTCTGTGGGTTCTGTTGACTGATGTGTTTATAACCAAAGTCAGACAGTATATCCAAATGAATACAGAAGTAAGATGTACTATGGCATGTTGTATACAGTACAACACTTTGAAAACACCCACAGAAAATCTCCAGGCATGAATAAAGGAAGAGATTGGAATAGAATAAATAGGCTGGCACTGGCCAGATGGGCAAATACACATGCACATTTACACATAGGCAGCATCCATTCATCATAATTAGCATCTCTGCTTCAGAGCAGCTTTGGAAATAACACCAATTTGACACGGCAGTGGGGGAAATGTCATCCCGCCAAGGCAATTACCTGCATGCTACCCACACACATTCACCTAAGTAATAATAATCACAGCCTGAGAAAAGATGAAACACTCCTATCAACACCAAATGATTCTGTAAAGGTGAGATGGGAGGGAAAACATGAGCAGACAGGAATACAGAAAAATGTACCTGAAACATGACTGTGAAGAAAACCACAACTATGGTTGTTGCCACAAAGTAATCCTTGGCCTTCACATGTTCTTTGTCTAAAAGAACAACCAGAGCAAATGCCACGGCACCTCGCAGACCGCCGTATGACATCACCACTTGATCGATCTTGTCCAGGGGAACCAGCCTGAACCAGTTCAGAAACCAAGTCTGCCCTATAACACCTGCAAATGACACGGTGAGCAAACACATAAGCTAAAGGTTAGAGATGAAGCCATTAGCAGTTGTAAATCTGTAGCACAAGTTTATCTCAGTGGCTCAGCCCATTATATATATAAAGTAAACTCAAATTAACTTTATGCTACATATTCAGATTTCATGGTTTAGCAAAGTATTAGAAAATCATCCTGTCATCATTTATTCCCCTTCAGTTATTCATATCAAATAAGACTTGTTCATCTGTGAGATGCAAATGAAGATATTTAATGAAATCGGAGAGACTTCTGTGCCTCCAATGAAAATCTATTCATCCCAACTTGTTTGAAATGTTCTTAAAAAGACTGCAGCAATTCATGTGTATTAAGAGATTGTGTATTATGTGTATTATGCAGGTCTTCGGAAGAGATATAACTGCTGGAACAGATTTCATTTCAAAAAAGCTTGACAGATTAGAACAAACCTCCTTGATGAAGATCAAACATTCTGGCTAAGACACACGTGAATCTTTTTGGTTCTTGCAAATCGAGCCACCACGCTTGAGATTCTGTGACCAGATTTTAATGCTATAAACACTGTTCCTTGATCACATGTGTATCAGTTATGGAAAAAAAATCTATTTATCATCAAAAATTATCAACTCATTTTCATTTCTTTAATGAGCTCCTTATGAATTAAGAAGATTCAGAGTTTTGAATTAACTTTATTTCAAGAGTTCGCCCTTAGCTGATGATTAATTATGAAGCGTGTTTGGTATGCTGTGCCAGGAGAGAGACCTGAGCTAATGAGATCCTCGAGCCCAGGGCTCCCTCCCCATTTGTAGGGCAAGAGGGGAGTTTGAGCCCAGGTAGGTCTCAAGAACTTCCCTGCTTGATAATGGTGTATGCAAATTATGAATAACTATGGGCAGAGTGTATTACTAAACTAGTTGTGCATCTATGATATCGATTTAGTCAATTTACTTATGTTACATGTTGTTTTAACATGTAAACCCAACCAGGAATGTCAACTTAGCCAGGTAAAGACTTGACATTCTTGCTTTGAGGCAAAGGTGCTAACCACTGAGCATCCGTGCTGCTCTGTCAAGGAAAGGAGAGGGGTAGGGGTGGAAGGGGGGGTTCTTAGAGATGAAGATGGCTAAGGTAAGATACTCTGGTTATTTATAGTATTATAACCATTGTACTATGATCATTTATGTGAAGCTGCTTTGACACAATCTACATTGTAAAAGCGCTATACAAATAAAGGTGAATTGAATTGAATTGAATTGAATATAGTGGGTTAAGAGTCATCTGATTGGTAAATAATGCATAAGCTAATGCAGGACCAGCTGCTAACAATCATAAGCATGTGCTACTCTCGAAATCAGTTCATGAATAAACTTCACTTAGTTTTAATGCAGAATATTCAGTTAGCATTCACTTTTCAACTTGAAAACTTCAGCATATCATGTTATGGAATTGAATAGAGAATTCTCTTTCTCACCCATAGCCCTGAAGACTAAGATAAATATGAGTGTGCTGACAACGAGACCAGTGTCCCAGGCCCATTTTGACTTGTCCACAGCTGAGATTCCCAAAAAGATGAAGATGATCGTCTCTGCAATGCTGGCCAGGGTCTTCATGGTGTACTTTACAGTAGTCCGGGACTTCTGGGATATATTAGCCTCCACATATTTGTTACAGCCAATTCCACAGAAAGTCAACCTGTGGTGAATCAACATTGTCATTAAGATGTTGTGCAATATGATATAGTCCAACAGAATTATTGTGGTGGCCAGATTAGGAGTGACATCCTTGCCTTTTAATTCCATATATAATATAGCAGTGCTTTTAATATTTGATTACACAAAGAAAATAATTTAAATGCAATACTGTATATTGCAGTCAAAGTTGGCGGTTCATTCCGCTGTGGCGACCCCTGATGAATAAAGGGACTGAGTCGTAGGAAAATTTATGAATGAATGTTGCAGTCGATGTATTCTTTTATTTCCTGTGAGATTTTTGATTGTCTTTCTAGTTTTTGCATACTATACTAATGCCCATACTTAAAAATAAATTAGTAAACACCTTAACCATGTTTAGTGATTTACATTTTCCAATTTAACATGTTCTTATATGAGACAAAGATATGCCATTATCCCAAATATACAGTGCATTCACTATAGGCCTACTCTACATATTTTTGTGCTGTGTTTGTTATATGAGTCACACAACATTGAACAGACTAGAAACAATAAAGAGTGCAAATTTATATCGACAAGATCATATTCATAACATGAAGTTTTATATGACTTTACCCCATTATCTTTACATTCTACTGTGGCTTATTTATTTCAATTGAAACTCAGCACCACCACGTGCAGTGATGAAAATGCCACTCGGGGGCGCTCTAAGCAATGCATTAGTATAGGCAGTCCTAAACAAAACAAGCAGATCCACACGTTTTTACTTAAAGTCATGTGTAAAAGAATTAAATCCTACATTTTTGTTCCACTGACTTCTGGCCTTACAGCATCTTGAATCCAAGCATGATTCTGCATCTTAAAATCTGTTGTACTGCTGTGCTGAGCAATACTAAAATGGGTTAACAATCTAATTCCTCTGCTCATAATCTCATTATGTGATGTATGACCAAGATTTACGGGTCAGCACACATGGCTTGAAAACAATCTGACACAATTTTCAAATTGAAGTTTGTAATGGAAATATTCATAAACAACATCATCGTGCTGCTCATACAAAGCCACTCATCAGTTCTCAATTTAATGTATTATTGACCCTGATGTTTTCATTATCTTTCCTCTATTATGCTCATATGTTTCTCTCACTCTCTCGTTTGCTGAACTGCTCTTACAGCATGAATCAGTCTCTCTATCCGCGTTAATCCTGTCATTTAACTTCTCACCATTTTAAATGTCAGCCACTACAGTGTTTGTCACAGAAACTGCATTATTTTTCCATGGTGGGGACCTGTCATTGACATTGTTTAAACTATTACATTACTCACTTAGATCTTTCTGCATTTCACATTTTCAGTGGTGTTTAATTTTCACATATTATTTGCCTTCATAACTAATGTTAAGCTTAGTGTGCTCAGTGTAGACAACGTAGAGCCTGAATTTTAAAGGGATAGATCACCCAAAAATTTACTCGCCCTTCACTTGTTACAAACTTCTTTGAATTTATTTCTGTTGAACACAAAAGAAGATATTTTGAGAAATGTTGGGATCATTGACTTCCATGGTATTTGTTTTCCTTACTAGGGAAGTCAATCATTACAGGTTTCCAAAATGTTTCAAAATATCCTGTTTTGTGTTTAACAGAAAAAGGAAAACCCAAAGATTTGCTAACACTTGAGTAGATATTCATCTTTGGGTAAACCCTTCCTTTAATTAAGTTTTATTATTTAGATGAGTTTGCAAGCAGTAATGATACTCACGACAGAATGGCGGACAGAGAGAAGAGCTCCGCTGTTAGGTAGGCCAGATAAACCAACAGGAAGATGAACATTGGCTCTATGATGCGCACCTTCTTTGTGAAACGAGTGAAGAAGGCTAGAATAACGGCAAAGATGAGACCAACCAAAGTCCCTCCAATACTGACAATGAGGAAGGAGGCTGAAATAATAAAAGAATGTATTAACACATGTATTTTTGAGTAAATATTACACCCAACAGGACATATTTTTGGACTTACCAATTCCTTTAAAATAATCTGCAGTGTTAACATTCCCTGGTCCCACTTCCACAAATGATATGTACACCTTATATAAGACCTGTTGAGAGAATCAGAAATGTATCTTCCAGTTTTGACAATTTTTCACATAAAACAAACTTATGTTTAACAAGGCTGTATTTGTTTGATGAAAAAAAAATAAAGTCAATAATGGGTGAAATATTACAATTAAAAAGCGGAAAGTGCATAATTCAATTAACCATAAACACAGCCATGTTTTGAGATAATGTCTTAAAATAATTAAAGGGTTTTTAACACATATAGTTTGACATGGTTAGCCCTGTCAGTTGCTCTGACAGATACATGTGCTGCAAACAGATCAGGCTATTTCTGCTTTTTTATATGTTTGGGATGTGACAATTTCTTCTGTGCCTGAGTGTATTTTAATGACAACGGTAAGCGTTAAGTGACTGTTAAGTTCAAAGTACTCTCACTTTTGAATAATTTCAAATCATCACTGAATAGAAGTATTTAAATAAATAAACGAATGTGGTAAAAGTGAGTGATTATTTGTTGTTACTGTGCTACATTTGTGATTTTAGTCTCAATCCTGGTCACGGCACCAAATTGTTGAAAATTTCATAACCCAAGCCAGGAGACTCATTTCAAGCAGAATTATTTATTGAAAACGTGTTGGTTGTTCTGCAGTCAAACAATCATCTCCAAGAAGTCTGTACAATTTTAATTTGATCTGTGGTTCAGTGACTGTCAATAACGTCAAGTGTTTAATAAGCAGTAGACTGCTGTAGTTTGATTGTGAAGTCCCAGCAGAGTTTTATGTAACAGTTCCTAGACATTAAAGTGCATGCTGGTTTGAGTGAGTTCAGATTGCAGCTTTCAATTACAGCATCGATCTGTGTCATGACCACGTTTATTGTGTATGTATGAAAGAAGAAGGTTATTACAGTCTCAATAGCCCAACCTCAAGTGCTCACTGACCTGCCAGCACAACACACTCAATCACACTATAATCTGCTGCCACTTCTACACCGAAGCCTGGTGAGAACCTGCTCATGAGGGGAAAATCCCTAGAATGTGACTGTGGTAACTTTACAACTAATCGTATAAATAATGGAGACTTATGACAGAAGTCTCATTACAATCCAGCTCAAAAAGCAGTAAGAGAACGCAGCTTAATTTTCATGGCAGAGATTTTGAATGGCATTTAAAGGGATAGCTGACCAAAAGTTAAAACTTTGAAGTTGATTTTCATTTGCTCACCCACTCACGGTTACAAGCCTATTACTTTCTTTATTCTGTGTAAGATTTTGAAGAAGATATTTTAAAGAATGTTTTTAAACAAACATTTTTGCTGCCCAAGCAATTTCGATTACATCTGTTGTATGAACTGGGAGAATAGAAAGCTGTCTGATAGGGATGTCCTGGTGCCAACCGGGATTGTATCCAAAAACATAAATTCACAGCTGCGCACTGAGTTGCAACACTGAGTTACAGTGTGGAGAAGCCCTAAAGAGGCATACCACCCAGTTAGTTGCATGCCCAGAGTGGGGTTGGATCAGTGATGGTTTGGGCTGCAATATCATGGCATTCCCTAGGCCCAATTCCTGTGCTAGATGGACACATCACTGTCAAGGACTAACAAACCATTGTGGTGTGTGCCCCTAATGGTTTAAACATTGTATCCTGAGGGTGGTGCTGTGTATCAGGATCATAATGCACCAATACACACAGCAAGACTGGTGGCAAAGTAGTTTAGTGAACATGAAAATGAACATGAAAGTGAATCTCCCATGGCCTGCACAGTCACCAGATCTAAATATTATTGAGCGGCACAGGGGTGTTTTGGAGGAGTGAGTCAGCAAACTTTTTTCTCCATCAGCATCACATAGTGACCTGGCCACTGTTCTGCAAGAAGTGGCTCAGAATTCCTCTGGCCACTCCAGGACATTTATCTGTCATTCCCAAGGCAAATTGACGCTGTAAGAGAAACCCTTGCATCACATATTTATAAATGATGTTTAATTGAGCAAGGAAATTTTCACAGTAATTCCTAAAATATTTTTTCTTCTGAAGAACGTTGTATTTGTTTTATTTCAGCAAAAATGAAAGCAGTTTTTAATTTTTTAAAAACATTTTAAGGTCAAAATTATCAGCCCCTTTAAGCTATTTTAGTCTAAAGTCTAAAGGACAAACCATCATTATACAATAACTTGCCAAATTACCCTAACCAGCCTAGTTAACCTAATTAACCTAGTTAAGCCATTAAATGTACCTTTAATCTGTATAAAAGTCTCTTGAAAAACATCTAGTCAAATATTATTTACTTTCATCAAAGATAAAATAAATCAGTTATTAGAAATGAGTTATTAAAACTATTATGTTTAGAAATGTGTTGATAAAAATCTTCTCTCCGTAAACAGAAATTGGGGAAAAAATTAAACAGGGGCGCTATTAATTCTGACTTCAACTGCATGTATGTATATATATATATATATATATATATATATATATATATATATATATATATATATATATATATATATATATATATATAGCAAATACTCAAAATATATTTTATGTTCCACAGATGAAAGAAAACCAAACAGTTTTGGAACAAGACCAATGATGGCAGAATTTTGAAGCCACTATCCCTTTTTAAGTAAGTAAATCAAAATAATATTTAGCATCAATATTCATTTGAGATCAGTCTGTATACAAAAAGATTTTTAAAAAAAAGTGAAACCAGAACGACAGATTCGCCCTTTGTGTTGGACACATTTTTAACAGCAATCAAAATTGACCTATAAAGAGCAAGTGAGAAATATTCCACTACATGATTCAAGACCTTTAAATTGTACTGTAAGTCTTGGATCAACAAATGTGATGTCTACAAACTAAAGAGACAGACCTGCTACTGTACATGTGAACACTATTGTTTATGATAAAGCTACAGTTTTAATGCTGCAACCATTGAGTATGTCAGTTAACAAAAACTAAAAACATATTGAGTCTAAAAGTCTTTACAGCATGAGGAAACCTGTTAGAACACAGTTATAATGTCCATGTTAGAACATTTTTTTGTGTGTTTTGCCAATAAAGATGGAGACTTTTTCCATGATAAGCCTAAACCAAACAAGGCACTGGTACAAAAAGACACCTAGTAATATGCTTTATATTATTTGCTTTAATTATCAATACACTATATATAGAAATGCAATTTATTACAAGAGACAATGCAACGCAATGCAATGCAAAACAGACAATGCAACGCTAGCTCTGTCCACTCTAATTTAACATCCTGTTGATATGAAAAAGCATATTTTTCAAAAACAACGCACAGTATAAACAACTAACACAAAATCTGCTTTCACATATCCAGAAGCTACTGAATGTACCCAGAGTAATTATATAAAAAATCCAAAGAAAAAAAACAAAAGGAAATGGCTTGGATAATTCAGTGGCAATGCCTAAGCCAAAGTCATTTACTATCGATTTGCTTCTCCAGAGCTAGTAAATGACTTTTGGGTATGTCTTATAATATAATCATGTCAGCACAACAGCAGAGTGTTCTGGTGTAGAGTTACCATAACAACAGACATGCTACTCAACAGAAAGAACATAGACGGATGAAGAAGAGATTTTCCTCGTCTCCCTTAAAGCTTTCCTTGAGTCTTTATAATGCTTACACATCCACAAGACATTCATTAGGGTATTAGAGTAGGTAAACGTCAAAACACTTCAATATCAATTATGCCAAGAATGTCTGTCTAAAGTGCTGTGCATAAAATGTATTAAAAGTGTTATGCTATCTAGACAATTATTTTATTATTATTTTCATTCAGCGAGGAAAACATTACATTGATGAAAAGTGACAGTAAATACTTTTATACACTTAAATTATGAAGACTAAAATGCCATTTAAAACAAATCTTACTCTTTCGAAATTCAGCAAAACAAATGATAAAAAACAAAAAAAAACTGTTTTGAACGTGACACTGAAGACTTTAGCGATGTGGCTAAAAAAAATCAGTTTAGAAATATTCATTAATGGGCTTTTAAAACAAATCAAATAGGCAATATGCACTGGGCAATGCAGTAACAGTGTAAAAACCATCCACACAGAGGTAAGCGATCAGACGGTAGCGTGAACAGGCTACATAATTCGCGCTCTTCAGAAATGTATACTGGGGTATATTTTCACAATGAGCCTGTGTTGGACGTATCATTCCACTCTACTAGTAGCATGTTAATCATGTAAATACAATTTATAAGTTAGAGATGAAAGCAAACGTGAGTAATACAAGAGAATATTCTATTTTTTAAAAACTGACTTACCACAGTGACAGCATCATTGAGCAATGACTCGCCAAAGACGATGATGAAGAGTGTCTCGTTCACATGGACTTCTTCAAACACAGCGAGCACTGCTACAGGATCCACAGCTGAGATCAGAGCTCCAAACAACAAGAATTCCATCAAACCTGCGTCCACTTTTTCATCTGCACTCACACACAACACATAAACAAATCCAGTCAATAATTACAACCAATTTAACCATAGCTTAACATGCACTTGCTCCACTGCGACTGTCCAGGAGCAACCTGTGTTTAATAAAATAGTATAAATAACAGTATGAAACTTGAATGTGCCAAATCAAAACAAATGATTTGATTATTAGATTAGAAAATTAGATAGAATCTTAGTATGTGACCAAAATTGAGCAAATGTTTAAATGCAATAAATAATTTTTTGTATTTTGCGCTAAATAATTGTAACATTAATGATGAATACTGATCACTTTTATTGCACTGAGGGTATTTATTGAAAAAAATAAGCAATTTTAGCCTCGTGATTGGACAGTAATTTGAAGAACTTACCAGCCTTTAGTGTCTTTTTTTTTTTACCAGCCATATAACTGTATGCACATTGGCTGAGTCCAAAATCGCATACTTCCATACTACTGTATATAGTACACTAAAAACAGTATGTGTATGAACAAAATTCATAGAATTCGAAAAACAGTATGTGAGAAGTACCCGGATGACCTACTGCTTCCAGCGAGATTCAGATGTTTACATCCGGTGCATGCTACGCTATCCCATGATGCACCGCAAGAGAATCCATGAATGGAAGTGAAGCAACGCAACTGACTCGGGTAGGTCACATGAGCATGACAAAATGGCAGATGTAGAACTGTCTCAGTAGTACCTAATGTGTAGTAGGAGATTTCGGACGCAGACATTGTTTTAATAAAAATGTAAACAAATGTAGAAAACTATAAAAAAGAAAAATATAATATAGACCTTTACGAGAACTGTAAAGCAGTTAATAGTAGTCATTCATATTAGTTATAGTTCTACTACTACTATTGTAACTAACACTACAACTACTGCTACTGCTAATTATTAGTTAATGTAACAACAGAATTTTGTGAGGTTTCCAAAAGAAAGAGAAGCTTTTCTTTTGCAATTCTCCTCTTTTTATCACATTATTCTAAAATATTTTCATAAAATGTTTGTCATATGCTGCATTTTCATGTTAGAAAAAATCCCACCACCTGTAAAGTTTGTGTGGATCATATACCTTGAATCGAGCTGCAAAGGCACTGAAAGCACTGTCATCATGAGCTGTTTAAAAGTCACGCAAATTTTTGCAGTTTTATAACAAAATCATTTAGCATCCTCAGGCACTCACCTATGACTCCGGCCATCTTGACTCCATAGAGACAGAATCCAGTGCAGAAGGCATTCCACAAAGTGCCTACTACAGCGTACATCAGAATGGCACCCAGGTTGTCGAAAAACAGCCGTGCAGGCATGAAATACCCAGCATCCCCCACTATAGTTGGCAGGAGAAAGAGGAAAAAAAGCCCGGGGTCCAGTTGATATGGTTGCTTTTTGCTGGCAAGCAGAACCACTGTGCCCAGAGCCAGACCCAGCAGAATCAGCATACAGCTCTCCGGGACTGCTGTGGTGAAACGCTGAGAGAAGTGGAAAACTGAAGATCACAGAAAACAGAAAAGAGAGAGCAGAGAAAAAAGTTCATAAAGATTGATCACAGTAGATCACAGATATTACTCACTGTCATAAAACGGAGATGAATATGCTTTATTGAAATGTCACTACAGCTATTTAAGGAATTTCATCCCTTTCAAAGAGATATGTGCTGCACTGTAATGTCAACGATCACGACAGACAATTCATCGGACTAAACAACATTTTTTGTCTGATATGGCTGTTTCCACTTAACAGTACGGCACCTGCTTTAAATGTTATCTCTCGATTAAATGAGCATTATCAGTGGTTATCAACTGATAGATATGGGCCAGTAGGGGCCTTCTATGCCAATTGGTTGGCTTAAAAAGCTGTTATCATCCATCCACATGGTTAATCAGCTATACTAATAGAGAAGACCCCAGATCCAGATCTATTTTTACATTACTGTGACGGTTGGGTTTAGGGTTTGGGTAAACGTTAATAAAACACAATTAGTGGGAAATTTAATAAATAATATAAATAATTATTGTTAACTTCCTGCTGCAGCCATAAGTGATAAACAGGTGATAATATAACCATGTGAATGAATTATAACAGTCTTCTGAGCCTACTAGTAGTCACAGAAGGCTTCTACTGGCCCATATCTCTCAGCCGATAACCACTGATAATGCTCATTTAATCGACTGATAACACTTGGAACGGCGGTCAACCAGCCTCATTCAAATAGTAGTTTATACCTCGAGAGTACTGTAATTCCATACCATGGTTTCAAATGAAACATTACACAACGCCACTCCAATCTATAATGACTTACAATGACAAATACTGAGTCAATGTGCCACAGTAAGCACAGCATGCTAAACTCACCAATAAAATGCAAGAGCATACTGTGGCTCCATGGAGAGTCAAGAAGTCATCACAATATTTCCATGAGGAAATGCCGCTTGTTTCCATTCTCACGTCAAACATATCAAATGACCGTACGAAGCATTGTCAAGAGAGGAACAATCAGACAGCAGTAACCTAGCATGCTCAACACCCTAAAGCATGTGGTGCAAGTCAATACTTCACAAAAACAACACAAACGTAGTGTTTATGGGGACCAAAATGAAGTTAATAGTCCATGAGATGTTTCATTATGGATATTGTACTGAAAACAATGTTAATACGCAGGGCTGAATAAGGCACACACCGACCTCCTTTTACACCATACAAGTGGCCCTCCCGAAATGCAAAAGTGTACAATCACAACAGATTATGGCATAATAGGAGAATCTAATCATTATTAATGTTTCCATGATCAGAGCGATTTTGTGTAGGAGGGAAAACCTCCGCCAAGAAACACAACAATCAGAGCTCTCCATGAGTCATTCACACAAGGACAGAAAAACACTGACGTACACCCAAAATAAGCATACTAGACATCTGCACAAACACATGCATGTGTGCACACAAACACTAATGTATTCTGATTCATATGTCTAGATACTTCACAAATATGTTGTTATAAGAGCAGTGTGTTCTCTTAAAAGCATACAGTACTGATTTCTGTGAGTGAACTGCTCCAGACTCTCACTGTGGTGATAGAAAATAAATTCATAATTTGTCCATGAATGCGATGTTTGCTTTTGCTAAATCACTTTTATCACAAGATCTTCTGCTTTTGAATTATTATGTGTCGAAGCACTTAGCTAATCATCCCACATGTAATTACAGTCATAATAAAAGATTATCAAATCCAATTAAACCAATGGCCTTCAATTTCAGGGACAGACCGAGAGAGAAGTTTTGCACATGGAGCGACAGTAATTAGGAACAGAGGGGGGAGCCATTCTGTTATTATCTGTATTAACATTAGAACAGGCCAATCATTAAATTAGAGTGTGTGTGTATAATGAGATGCTGCCTTGTCGCACCCATGACTCAACAAACCTGAGTATGAATGTTTAAGCACTATGCTATGCTAATGCTATGCTAATGATATGGATATCATTACTTGTTGTCTGTCTACAGATAAACTGTGTCAGGTCCTGACACTGTGAATGACCAGAATTGTTTACCTAGAAATTTAAAATAGAAATAAACTCTATGAGCATTTAAAATGAGAGAGAGAGAGAGAGAGTGAGAGTGGTTCAGACAGCAGCACTGGCTGCCAGATATGTGTGGATGTGCCACAGCCTGGGAGACAGTAGATAAACCCAATTATGTGTGTGTCATGTGTGTATTACTGTATGCTTTCCTACTGTCTACCACAGTAACCCTTTGTCTGTGTGTGTTTGTGTGTGTGTGTGTGTGTGTCTGTGTGTGTGTGTGTTTGTTTATGTCAAACACTGTGGTTTGAAATGTTCACATGTTCTTATTTCTTACATTGTTTATTAATTCATTCATTCATTTTCTTTTCGGCTTAGTCCCTGTATTTATCTGAGTTTGCCACAGCAGAATGAACTGCCAACTTATCCAGCACGTTTTTAGGCAGCGGATGCCCTTCCAGCCCCAATTCATCTCTGGGAAACATCTATACACACTCAATCACACTCACTCACTAGGGACAATTAAGCTTACCCAATTCACCTATAGCACATGTCTTTGGACTGTGGAGGAAACCGGACCACCCAGAGGAAACCCATGCGAACACAGGGAGAACATGCAAACTCCACACAGAAATGCCAACTGACCCAGCCGAGGATCGAACCAGTTACCTTCTTGCTGTGAGGCGACAGCACTACCTACTGCGCCACTGTCGCACTTACATTGTTTACTTCAGTTTAAATTATTATGATATTTTGTTTTTATTCTTTATTTTGATGCTATAGTAGTTTTATATTTGTCTTCCTACTTCAAATTTTGGCAATATTGTATCATTTACAGTCATGTTAATAAAGCAATTCTGAATTTAGTTGAAGTGAAAGGGTGGGCGACGTGGAGGTAGTGGAGTTTGCATGCTCTCCCCGCATTTGCATGGGTTTCCTTTCCTCCTGGGTGCTCCGGTTTCCCCCACAAGTCCAAATACATGCGGTACAGGTTAATTGGGTAAGCTAAAAATTGTCAGTATGTATGTGTGTGAATGAGAGTGTATGGGTGTTTACCAGGGATGGGTTGCAGCTGAAGGGGCATCCACTGTGTAAAACATGTGCTGGATAAGTTGGTGGTACATTCTGCTGTGTCGACCCCAGATTAATAAAGGGACTAAGCCGAAATGAAATGAGAGACAGAGAGAGAGAGAGAGAGAGAGAGAGAGAAAGTGCTTCTACAGGTGGTTTTAGTTTTATTCACCGAGGGTTCAGGTGTTTTCGAAAGAGATGGGTTTTTAGTTGTTGTTTAAAGGATACCATCTGGGAGTATGGGGTCAGAGGCACTCTGTTAAAGGCTGTCTTGTCCCTGTATGAACAGAGCAGAAGTTTGGTTTGCATTGCCGCCAATAAGACAGACTTGTTTCCAGTGCATGTTGGACTCAGGCAGGGCTGCCCTTTGTCACCAATTCTGTTCATAATTTTTATGGACAGAATTTCAAAGTGCAGCCTTGGGCTGTAGGGGGTATCGAACATAGACCTTTAGCATGTACTGGGGCGATTTGCTGCAGACTGTGATGCGGCTGGGATGAGAATCAGCACCTCCAAGTCTGAGGCCATGATGCTCCACCGGAAAAAGGTGGTTTGCCATCTCCAGGTTGGAGGAAGGTCCTTATCCCAGGAGGGGGAGTTCAAGTATCTTGGGGTTTTGTTCACAAGTGAGGAAAGAATGAAATGTGAGCTTGTGAGGCGGATTGGTGCAGCGGCAGCAGTAATGTGATCAATGTACCAGTCTGTTGTGGTAAAGAAGGAGCTGAGCCGAAAAGCAAGGCTCTCGATTTACCAGTCAATCAACGTTACTACTCTCACCTATGGTCATGAGCTTTGGGTCATGACCAAAAGGACAAGATCTCGGATACAAGCGGCTGAAATAAGTTTCCTTTGCTGGTGAGGAGCTTTGTCATCCGGGAGAAGCTCAGAGTAGAGCTGGTGCTCCTCCACATCAAGAGAAGTCAGCTGAGGTGGCTCAGGCATCTGTTTCGAATGCTTCCTGGACGCTTACCTAGGGAGGTGTTCCAGGCATTTCCCTACCGTGAGGAGACTTCAGGGAAGACCCAGAACACGCTGGAGGGACTATGTCTCAAGCCTAGCCTGGAAACACCTCGGGATCCCGTGGCTAGAGGAAGTGTCTGGGCAGGGGGGAAGTTTGGGGTTTTCTCCTAAGACTGCTGCCCCAGAAAACCGAATGGAAACGAATGAATGAAGGATACCAGTGAATCTGCAGCCCAAGTGGGAATGGAAAGATCATTCCACCAGCATGAAGCAGTGAATGAAAATGTTTTTGAAAGTGACTTAAAGCCTCTTTGCAATGGCACCCCAAGTCTATACTCATTCCTGGAGGAGCTTCGTTAAAGCACTGACTATTTGTATTAACTTTTAGTTGAAATTGAATGCAGTCATATCATATTACTGAAATATTATATAAGTCTAACTTATATAAGCCTTTATGTAATTTCGCCATTTTTAGCCAACTTTTCCTGAATTAACCCCTAAGCGTCCTTTATTGTTATGAAAACACTTATAAAACTATATAAAATCACACACAAATCTTAATTAGATATGACATTCCAGATCCACTTTATATCATGCAGCCTTAACTACAACTTGGATCAAAAAATAAATACACATACAAATACATGTGTTGATAATGTATTGCAGAACACTTCTGGTGCTCTTGAGGTGGGATACAGGTAGGTTAGAGACAGGTTTGGTGGTATGAGCAGGTATAATGGCAGATTGAGGTGTAAAGGATGGTCAACAGTGTAATTACACATTTAATCACAGAAATTAATTACACAATCATTATTACAATGTAAAAACTTGTATTTAGACAATAAGTATATTGTGTCAAAAATGAGTTTCAGTGTAAAGTCATATTAGTTTAGGCCACCTAAAATAAAGTGGGACAAACTATGCTGTAAATGAATGAATATGCATACATATTATACTACTCATAAAATGTCAAAAATTGAATTAAATTTGCATCATACTTTTTCAGCCTCTCTCTCTCTCTCTCTCTCTCTCTCTCTCTCTCTCTAGATATGCAGTACACAAATAGATTTTCAGACAGAAACCTTGCACGTTCAGTGATTCTAGAATCATCTGTTGAAATAAAATGACAGTATTATATGTTGCAATAGTTTAACATTTCACAGCTGCAGATGCTTCACTTTCTTTGTCATTGTTGAGGGTGACATGTTGTTGCACTGATCCCTCAACAGCTGGTCAGTCTGTGTGTGGACTCAGCACTTAAAGTCATCTGGCCACTGTGTGCAGGTGCTCAAGATACAGTAGTGCTATTTTCTCCAGATGCAAGACAAATATTCAGAGTGGGTTTAATGGTGTGTTGCCGTAGCAATTATATCAGGGAGAAACAGATGATCGAGCTACCAGCACTAAATCATCTGATGTAACTGCATGTCTTGGCCAAAAATACAAGCTGGAGGGACGCCTGAGAAACACCCACACATGCAAATACAGGAGGCAGTGCATTTTGTGTAGGCTTGTGTACTGTATGAGTGTGTGTTTTCATGAATAAACGCCACAAAACATATAACCATAACTTTGTACTGCCACTTAAAACTTTACATACATGCCCTATTATAAATTCTCGTGTCTAGAAGATATTTGTATAATGTTTTATGAAACTGATCATTATGAGCTCTTGCCTAGCAAATGAGCACCCAGACAATAATTTCCCATGATAGATTTTCCCATGGGGTTTTAAATGGAATCGTTCAATTCATTAGCTACTGTTTAAGGTCTATGGTAAACATTACAGAACTGTAAGCTGCAACCATTCACACCCCAATTATTGATATGTAATAATCATCCAAAACATACCTCTTTTTAACAATGTAAGTGCATTAAAAAAATAGCATTTTCTACATGGCAGTGTGTAATACACATTTTAAAGCAAAACACCAAAGTATTGTCAAGTTACATGAAATTAAATTTATTAATAAACTAATTTTCAGAGAGGATCACGTGCTTTTGATTGCTGGTCCTGCATTATTCAATTTATGATTCAGACATTCAGACAGCCATCTTCATTTTGAAGAATCCCCCCTTCCACTCCTCCTTTACTAGATGGGTGACACGGTGGCCCAGTGGTTAGCACTGTTGCCTCACAGCAAGAACGTCTCTGGTTCTAGTCCTTACCAAACCAGCCAACGTTTCTGTGCGGAGTTTACACGTTCTCCCTGTGGACATTCTCGAGGACAATTGCTTTCAACCCCTGGTTTCTACACTGGATTCTTCAGGAATCAGCTGAATCAGTTCACAAAAGAGGACAAATTTGTTTACAAAAATGACAGACCATGAAGGAAAAAATATGAATTTTGCTGATGTATTTGGGTGAATGAATAAATGAAACATGTGCTGTATAAATCAAACAGCACAGTAGAAAACCCACAAATTAAAAGTACTGAAAATTACAACTTGATTTGCTGATGTTTAGATCAGCAGAAAGAAATGATTGTGATGTCATTCTGTAACGGACACAGGCTATGCTCATCATTTTATATATTATATATCATTTTTTATAACCTCTTTTAATATATTCAAAAAACATTTAAAAATCTGGTTTATATAGAATTAGACGTGTCATCATTCCTATTAGAATGAACCTAGCATGTTTCCATTTGTGCCTACCTTTAAAACATTGGAGTTTTAGTTGAATTTGTAAATATTCATTTTTTTATTATTATCTACATAACCTTGTCTATTTTATTACTTTTCAACTATGTTTGACCGATTGTATAATTCTTGGTTTTTTTTTTTTTTTTAGGTTGTTCAGGGACAACACATAAAAAATAGCCTTCTGGCTAATTCTGGTGCATTTGCAGAAATGCTAATTAATGTACACTGCCCCTGCCAAATAAACAAATAAATACAATAAAATAAACTTGGTCATTTCTTTGACAGCATCATAAGTGGAGTTTAAGAACCACAGAAAAGTGAATGTGATGAGAGCAGTTTTCCTCTTTACTGATGTAAAGCTCAGGTAATCTATTCATTGACAAATGAAAACAGTGCTGGTTTTAACTATTATATATAATGTATATATGGTTGTCTTTTGGACAACTGTCAAATCAGCCATCTTCCCCATCATTGTGTAGCCTACAGAACTATACTGAGAGACATTTACAAGGTCTTTGCAGGTGATTTGAGTTAGTTAGCTGAGTAAGATGTGGCACCAGGGGTCTTCAAACTGAACCTTTTCACAATATTTAAATTTTCTGACATGCTGAATTTGGGGTTTCCATTAGTTGTAATCAAAATAATCAAAATTAAAAGAAATAAACAATTGAAATACATCAGTCTGCGTAAAATGAATGAATACATCATAAGTTTCACTTCTTGAATGGAGTTATAGATAAATCGATGGCTGATATAGATGAATAGATGGCTGGTCCCTTATGAACTCAACTTTGGCTTTACTAATAAAATGGTTACTGAACTTTGGTTTAACCATCACATTTTTAGTAAAACTGTGGTTGTGTTAAGGGTGGTAAAAAATGGTTCATTTACTTTTACTATAATAAACACATAATTCATTTTCGTAGACACGCTACAATGGAATGAAATCCTCACAGTACCACGAATTATTAAATCAATAAATACCGACGAGGCTACACTTGGGAACTAATATCTGCCGCGTCAGCGAGTGATGATGATGTCATCATGACTTCTAATCGACTACCAATCGAAAGAATCGAATCGCGCACCTGAATTGAGCTTCTCATCAGTGGATTCAGAACATAGCGTGAGACTGAGGAAGATGATAATAGAAAGATGATGAGTCATAGCCAATCAGCGCGCGCCGTCACTGTCCGCTGAGACTCGCGCCTTTTGGAGAGCTGCCGGATCGGCGGGAACACAGAACACACGTTGAGCTCTCATACACTCTGAACTATAGACTGTAAAATAAATAGCTCTCAACAGTCAACACAGTGTTCAAAAACCTCTCACATGGATTGACAGCATGGATTTCACAAACAGAAGATAATGCAAGTCCACCATATGTACATCTAACCGAAACGCACACTCCTGTCACTTTAAGGCGCTTCGCTTATCTCCCTACAGCTAAAAGCCTTTTTAATTATCATTGTATCCAAATGTCCCTGAGGAAATGCACGGGTTTTATTGCCATGACAACTACCCGCGTCGGTCAATTAATGCCAGTGGAAGGGAAGCGCAGGTGGCTTGCGCTTTTTTACGCACCGTTTTACACACAACACCGGCGGCGGCTCGCTTTAATAAACCGAGCTACACACATTCACGACCTCAACACAGATAACTTTCCGCACTGCCCGCGTAATGAACCAGGATGGAGCGCGAAGCTTTCTTTCTTTGAACAATATGAATGTACAAACAGAATGTGTTACAGAACTTACGTATTTTGGCCACACTGGCCACCAAGAGCCAGCTGGCTATAATGTAAGGTGTCTGCACGTAGCTCCATTCCCACTGCACTATCTTGAATCCTCCTCCGTGGTGGTGAGAAGACTCTCCATCCTCTGTGCTCGGCGTCGTGGGCTCTTCGGCAGACCGGGCGAGCGCAATCCCAGGATGCCCGTACTCTCGGGGAATATACCGGGCGGCGACGGGGGATGTGGCGGGAGGAGCAGCGCTCACCCCGAGGTTTGGCGGAAGCGATGCTCCTGTCACGTAAAGGTCAGTCACTGCATCACGAGCCAGCGTTATGAAGAGGAGCAAACTCAAGCCCCGCATCTTGCCGGCGCGTTCAGCGGCGTGTCATCTTCATTTCTTTTATATACGCTCTTGTTGCGATGGCAAGCCCTCCGCGGGACGCCCCGTTACCGGTTTACAACATCAACACACACTCCACTTGCCGGTAACTCACGAAGGTGCAGCTGGCAGACACGGACACGTGATCCGTTCGTGCACAAGGAGGATCTTGTTAAAGAGCCGTCACTCATCACAATCATCCTCATCTTCGTCAAAACAGAGAGTGCGAGCAAAACCAACGATATCAGACAGACTCTATATATGACAGCGCCACGAAAAACAATTCTTTAATACGCGGAAATACATCGACTGTTTAATCAGAATCAACAAGTTGTTTTAGTCACTGAAGCAGCCTGACTTTTAAATGATAGATCACTCAACGATTAAAGTAGTTGTCAAATGAATTTAAAATGTCACATGCGCCCCCAGGAGGACAAAAGTGAATCTTTACTGATGTAGTTCACTGGAAAATATTCGTATTAAATAACACTTTGCAATGAGGCATTATGTTACAAAACAATGCATTAATTAACAAACAAAATTGTAACAATTTTACAACATCGCCATCCTTGGAAATGTTAAGTGTTCATGTTCTTACTGTCATTACTGCACTTTACCCTTTTCATTTATCATAAATCCACAGAAAGGTCAGATTACGCCACAGCACTGTATAGTCTTTTCATTTGGACTCAATATTTAATAACTTTTTCCATAACAGTCATACTATGCTTTCAGACAAGTTTGTATTATATCATATTAGCAACATCACAATAGGTGAATGTGGAGAAAATGACATTTTAAAGTTGCCTTTTATTTTACCTTCTGTATACCCCATTTTATTAACTGAAAAACTATATAATATTATACAAACCACAATAAAACAAAAATTATTATAACTTTAGAGCTTTTAAAGACATTTAGTCAAAACAAATGTTTTCTGATATTTCTTCTGGTGTGTTTATAAACATTTTTAGACATTCAGTTGAAATGATTCAGTGCTATAACCCTAATTTTCAATCACTAAAAATGAAAGCACAAGCTTTTTTTTGTGGTTATTTTCACCAACTGATATTGTCTGTAAAAATGCTCACATACACTCATCGGCCACTTATTAGGTACACCTTACTAGTACTGGGTTTAACCCTCTTTTGCCTACAGAGCAGCCTTAATCCTTTTTAGCAGAGATTCAATAAGGTACTGTAAATATTCCTCAGAGATTTTGGTCCATATTGACATGATAGCGAAGAAGAGAAAATATCCAGTAAACCTCAGTTCTGTGGGCGAAAAAAACCTAGTTAATGTCAGAGGAAAATGGCCAGACTGGTACGAGGTGATAGAAAGGCAACAGTGACTCAAATAACCACTCGTTACTACTAATGCGTGAAAAAGAGCATCTCAGAACACACAACACGTCCAACCTTGAGGCAGATGGGCTACAGCAGCAGAAAACCACACCGGGTGTCACTCCTGTCAGCTAAGAACAGGAGACTGAGGATACAATTCACACAGGCTCACCAAAATTGGACAATAGAAGATTAGAGAAACGTTGCCTGGTCTGATGAGTCTCAATTTCTGCTGCAACATTTGGATGGCAGGGTCAGAATTTGGCACCAACAACAGAAAAGCATGGATCCATCCTGCCTTGAATCAACAGTTCAGGCTGGTCATGGTGCTGTGATGGTGTGATGGATATTTTCTTGGCACACTTAAAGCCCATTACTACTAATTAAGCATCGTGTCAACTCCACAGCCTACCTGAGTTTCGTTGCTGACCATGTCCATCCCTTTATGACCACAGTGTACCTACTGTATCTTCTGATGGCTACTTCCAGCAGGATAATGCACCATGTCATAAAGCGCGAATCATCTTAGACTGGTTTCTTGAACATGACAATGAGTTCACTGTACTCAAATGGCCTCAACAGTCACCAGAACTCAATCCAATAAAGCACCTTTTTAGAAGTGGTGGAACGGGAGATTCACATCATTGGATGTTCAACTGTCAAATCTGCAGCAACTGCATGCTATCCTGGCAATATGGACCAAAATCTCTGAGGAATATTACCAGTACCTTGTTGAATCTATGCCATATGGGATTAAGACAGTTCTGAAGGCTGTTCTTGTATGGTGTACTCAATAAAGAGTATCTACTTTAAGCACGTGTGTGTGTGTGTGTGTCATGTGAATGAAAACAGATGAAAGAAAAGTCTAATAAAAGATTTAATTTTAAGTTAACAAAGCTCTGTCTTTGGATTCAAGGCCAACATGTCCCTGTAAAACAATGGTGAATCAGGATACAACATCAAAAATTAGAAAAACTGTATTAGCAAAAAAAAAAAAAAAAAAAAAAAAAAAAAAACATTGCAAACAAACAAACAAACCTTGTGCAGGTGTCAAAAGAGATGACATCACTGAAGCACTGAAAATGATACATTCATTGTGAGGAACACATGCACGCTCATGCAGACAGGTAATAAAGTCCTACATAAAACAACCCCTAGTGTCTCCAAATTTCCTACAGCATAAAACCCTGTGCAAAAAAAGCAATACTATAAAATGCTTAAAATATGTGCTTGTAACAGTAATAATAATTTTTAAAAAGTGCTGCAGAAACATCCTGCCTCAAATGCGACATTTCTCTTGCTCCATGCACATATTTTATAACACCATATCAGTGGCATAACTAAAAAAAAAAAAAAACTCAAATTCATCAAAAACTAAAAGTGTTTAGGTGAAAGAACGCATGAAAACCTTTCTCTTGACTACAGAGCACTTCAATAAATAGGACAGAAACGTGATACAGCAGAATACAGGACTGTTGTAGCATCCACAAACCTATCAAGAGAGCAATGCGATAAATAAAAGAAAAACAAACAACTGACCTAGTTTATGTCCTCTCTAATCAAGATCTCCTTGGTATAGTCAAGACTTTCAGTTGAACACCACCCGGTCAGCTTTCCAGACACAAATTAAACCTCATCCAAGAGTTTTCAATGGTCAATCATGGCTGACAGTGTCTTTTAATCCAGGGTTCGGCTTCATTTATGGGCCCAGAAACCAGTGTTTTGAGTTACTCTATTGCACTGATCTCACCTACTGGCTTCCGTTATGCCAACCATGAGCTGTTAAAACAAACATAGCAAAAGACTTGTTTTTCAAAAAAAGTGTTCACTTAAAATACATCTTGTTGACGTATAAATTGTGATTTAGAGTTCTATACAAATCAATTCATCCTTAAATCTGTTCAACATATTTAGCATTTTACATCACCAGATCATATACACAGTTTTTCTCCATCAGTAAATGTAGGCTGGTATTTAATACTATACATTTAAAGCTTGTACCAATCAAATCCTGACATGTCTAATGGATATCATACACACACTTCAGGCATCCATACAGCATATGAGTCATCCAGTGAATTGTTCGCATTGGCAGGCAGATTTCGGTTCAGGGATGGCACAGACTGCGTTTAGTGAAGATCCCTTTGTCACAGTTCTTCCTGTCATTATTGCAGCTCTCCTTATGGATTCTTATGCTGCTTTACAAGTGTTTACACCATGAGAGCTTCCAGATTCAGACCTTCCCGTTAGAACTGCCAAGGCCGAGAGCCTGCACCACTTCCACACTTAGACCACTCTTCAGAGTCCTTCGCACTGCAACACACACACACACACACACACAAACACACACACACACACAGCATGAAATTAAGTTTCAGTTTGCGGTTTCTGCATTCTGGGTCTGTTTGAACCAAAAGACTTATTTGATACATCATTATTTCCGCAAAGGGTTTTTAACCTTTATTTTTATAGGACAGTAAAGGGGAGACAAGAAAGCAGAGAGAGAAGGGAAGGATCTGCAAAAAACCTTGAACCAGGAATTGAACTCAGGTCTGACACTACCTGACAAAAGCCTTGTCGTCTATCCAACTTTTAGGAATAACAAGTAATAACTTGACTTCTAGTTGATCATTTGGTATCAGAAGTGGCTTATATGAAAAACAAAAGCCTCTAGATTATGCTTATTTTACCAAAATAAAATATGATCATGCCTTGATTTTTAATTGTTTAATTAGGACAGTAAGGTCTGACTTTGCTTATACAAAAGTCTTTGTCACTTAACAGAAATAATGTCCAGTATAGAATATAAAGTCATGGTGCAATGGAGAAAGAATTAATATTGTGTTTGACTACCATGAGCTTGGACGTCTGCATCCATACATCTCAGCAATGACTCAAATCACTTATGAATAAAGTCATCTGGAATGGCAAAGAAAGCGTTCTTACAGGACTCCCAGAGTTAATCACGATTCTTTGGATTAATCTTCAATGCCTTACCCCAGACATGCTCAATAGTTTTCATGTGTGGTGACTGGGCTGGCCAATCCTGGAGCACCTTGACCTTCTTTGCTTTGAAGGCTGAAGTATGAGAAGGAGCTCTATCCTGCAGAAGAATTTGCCCTCTCCTGTGCTTTGTAATGTAATGGGCAGCACAAATGTCTCTGACTCTGCAGATCTCTCACATGCCCCCATACTGAATGTAACCCCAAACCATGATTTTTCCTTTACCAAATTTGACTGATATCTGTGAGAATCTTGGGTTCATGTGGGTTCCAGAAGGTCTAATTTCAATTCTATTATTAATATTATTATTATCTTAAGGTCACAAGTGGTTGTGTCAGCATTTCACTGCATATCGTACCGTATATGACTCTGTATGTGACAAAATTAGAAATGTAAATTTATTTATATTTACATTTATTTGATGGTATGTTTGTTTGTTACACTCTGTGTCAGCCTTTTTAATTTAATAAATTTGTATTTTTGGAGCCTTGGTGTTGCCGCCTTTGATTTACATTTAATTTGCACTTTTTGCGGTTTTGGCTGAGCACCCAATTAAGAGAGATGTGCGTGCTTTTGTACAGTTTTTTCATGGTATGTTTGTTTGAAATTTATAAGAACACCTGATAATTGCCAGTATTACCCTTACTCGAA